TTCGTAGTGAACCTTTAAACTCCCCTCGGTTTCAAGACTGAGAAGGACGTCCTGTGCTCATTGAGTAAATCATAACATATCGTATTGTGAGCTAGGAAGAGGGTCAAGGAGCACATAGGACTACCATGCCTCAATCATACACATGCCCCAGCAGTACGAACTCCTCCTGTCTATGGCGATGCTAGTACCTGTACTCTGCCTGACTCCCTGCGCCTCCAGAAACTTTCCTTCTCTAACGACTCCACTCCAACTCCCATCTTTATTTTCACTCCTACTTATATTTCTCTCAATGATTCTGCATTTAACTTGTGTCCTCTAGCTAGACAATATAAGGTAAGTCAACGACACAACCACGAGTCACTCCCACCTTATCTTCTTCCATGTCTTATTTTAAAACCAACTTCCTTAGGTTTCGCAGAAGGCGATTTTTTGCATCCAGATATTTTCCAATGACTCAGAGTATAGTCTGGACACTGTCTCCCAGTAACTCTCCATCTGGAACAAGAAAATTGAAAGCACATCGCACCTGGAAGGAATTGATGCCCTAAAACAGGTTACTATACTACAGTGGAATTGTCGTGGTCGCAACTGTTCTGCAACTGTCGTTGCAGATTTGAGCTTTACAAGAACACCCGTTATTTGGGTACAATAACGTCTAACCAGCACTGTCGTAGACTGTGTTTGGTCTGCAACACACTACCCCACTCCAACTGATAAACTGAGGGCGAGTCCCCATCTAGTTCACAATACATTGCCTCATCACTGAACTTAATTAAATTCGACTTTTAGTGAGTCGTACAACATTGAGTTCAATAATACGTACCTGGATGTTCATCTTACTGTCGATATGGTTGAACTCTGATGTTGATGAGCTTATCTTGACTTTTCGGGCAACTGTTCCAATTGCCACCGTAAATTCATTGTATGTGGTTTCGGGGAATGCCCATTATTATCATTGCCAATCCAAGCCTTAAGGACGAACTGTAGATGTAAGCAAATTGCCGAAATAGCTTGAACATACAAACTCAGTCTTCCAGAACCATGATATGAATTCGTGTGGATTATCAGACTGGGAGAACATTTTCAGCTATAAAAACTTACCTTTGTTTCTGCGTAATAGCAGTGTTATGTACTTGGAAAGCTAATGACGACACATTAGGAAGTGTCCACTTCTCGAATCTGTATTTCCTTATAACCGTGACACTAAATTTTTAAAGAGGTGACCGGTAATCCAAGAGAAGATCGGTCAGATGACCCAAAAGCTCCATCTGAGGGTCATCCCATGACTAAGAACCGCGTCAGGAAACGCTTGTCCTGTCCTGACAAACATTAACCTAATCTAACCTGTAGACACCTCTGTTTCTCCTGATGGTGGACGTAGGGGGTGGGGGCTAAGGGTAGGGGTTCAAAATGCTGGAACTTGTACAACGTTGAGCGATGCGTGAGTTTTTAGTTTTCAACTGTTTTTTCGTATCGCAGTTGTCTTTAATCATTCTACCTCCCCGTCACTTTTACGCTAGCCCTCGGTGACAGTGTAATAACAGTGCAAACCTTTCAGTTCGGTTCTTGACCTCTGCCTTCGACCGTTGGCTCATCTGGAAAACCACGTTGAAATCCTTATCACACGTTTGTTGTTAGTTTTGCAGTATTTTACCGAATCTTACTGGCACCTACTGGTAGCCGTTATATTTGATCAGCTCTGAATTTTTTAAAAAATACATATGGCTTACAGGTGTGTTTTTGGGACAATCACTGCTCTCTTGAAGAAGCTTGGATGTGTCCAGAATGCATGTCTGCGTGTGGTGTTCCCTGAAGCATTGAGTATGTATCCAGCTTTGAGAGACTGAGGTGGAAGCAAACGTGTCTTCTTTTATCGATTACGCCGAATAAACCAATGCTCACCATGGGAATTATGACGGCCAGGAAGTCAGCAGTCACCATCTGGACACTAACACACTTTCCCAATATCGTTAATACTTTTTCTCTGAATTCGCTGCAGGTCCCTGGCTGCCAGATTTCCCAGTTTTGTTGTCAAGCATCCGGCATCGTACTTGGGTAGATAAGATGGTGAAATGAAAGATAGCTCTTTGAGATTTTACCAATTAAGAATCCAAAGATTACACATCATGGCTTTTCAAAATATAAAAACTTTTGCTCCGGCAGGTCCTCCAGCTCTTCAACAAGTCTACCTCTAAATACCGATGGATCCAAGAGAAGTGAATTTGTGGGAGCAAATATATGTTTTTGCACGTGTCCTCAGGTTCAGTTTGCCACACCATACATAAGTCTTCACTGCCCAACTCTTTCTCATTGACCGAAACAAATTTTGCAAGACTTAAAAAAAAAGTGGTAGCCATGTTATGTCTTTCTGACTCCATGTCTGCACTGACAGTTATATGTCTCTGTAAAAGAATCCTCTGCATCCCTGACATCCTTAACCCCTGCCTCCTCTACCGCCTTCCTCCCCCTCAAGGGAGGTTCCTTGATGCTGGTGAGGGGCTCTTGATCTAGGGAATTGGATCTGTGCTCCAGTTCCCTGAATTGAGCCTGAATACCTTCCATCCCCCCCCCACATGTGCTGTATAACCCTACAGGTTTAGCGCTTCCCTGTTATTATAATAATAATAACCGCCTTCCTCGTCACACCTCTTCTTCGCCTCTGTGAACGAGAACATCATCAGTCAGCAGCAGACACCGTCCACCAGGACCAAACATCGTGGTCTCTGTGATTCACTTCCTTGACGCAACAATCTTAATAAAGGTATGATGTAGGGTATTTGTGATCACACGTATTCGTATCTTTGTTGGCAATGTTTTTTTTTTTTCTTGTCCAGTTTAATACCTTGTGGTTCCTTCCAGCTACAACTCTGAAGAAACACACATGGCACAACAAGCGCCCAATCAGCCAAAGTTTCGCTCGTTGTAGACATTGACGAAGTTATGATTTAATAATTCTCTACACCGAGCGAAAGGTTGTCCCAATTAAACCTAGTTCCGCAAGGTCTTACTGGTTTTTTTTTTTTTCATTTCTTTAGTTTGTGAAATAGTTACTGATAGCAGAGAAATATATATTGTTGTTGTCATAGCAACAAACGCCAGGTGAATCGACCCCCCACCATCCCCCTCCTCCCTTACTCCCCTTCCCTCCCTCCTCCCTTTCCCTCCCTCCCCCTTCCCTACCTTCCTCCCTTCCCTTCCTCCCCTTTCCCTCCCTTCCTCTTCTCCCCCCTTCCTCCCTCCCCTATCCCTCCCTCCCTCCTTCCCTCCCACACCTTCCCTCCCCATCTTATTCCTTATCCTCATATCAGACATAGACAGAGATATACACCACAGCACCGTATCATCCTTTGCGGATGATACTAGGATCTGCATGAGGCTGTCATCTGACTTAAGAAATCGTAATGACACGATTGCAAATAAGCCATACCCCCGGCCGGGATTGAACCCGCGGTCATAAGTCTCAAACTCCAGCCCCGCGTTAGCCACTAGACCACTAGCCACAATAAGATTCATCCAACTAGGTTATATTTTCTAGCACCATAGGAAAGTTAGCACAGGCACCCTGTGACCACAAATGCAAGTTTTTTACAGACGAATCTCCAGCTAGCGTGGCGTGACGACTCTAAGCTCAAGTCCTTCAACTGCCGTCAACATGACTTAAGATATTCTTAAGTCATGTTGACGGCAGTGAAGGGACTTGAGCTAGAGTTCGTCACGGCCACGCTAGCTGGAGATTCGTCTGTAAAAACTTGCATTTGTGGTCACAGAGGTGCCTGTGCTAACTTTCTATGGTGTAGAAAATACCTAGTTGGATGAATCGTATTTGTGGCTAGCGTGGTCTAGTGCTAACCGACGGGCTGGAGTTTTGAGACTCTATGACCGCGGGTTCAATCCCGGCCGGGGGTATGGCTGTCATCTGCTGAGGACGCGGTTAACCTCCAAGAAGATATAAACAAAATTATCCAGTGGGGCAACGGTAAACAATATGATGTTCAATGAGGACAAATTCCAACTACTCCGTTATGGAAAACTGGAAGAGATAATAACTAGAACAGAGTATACTACTGACTCCGGCCATACAATAGAGCGGAAAAATAATGTAAGGGACCTGGGATTTAGTAATGTCTGAGGATCTCACTTTCAAGGATCACAACAGTGCCACGATCACAAGTGAAAAGAAAATGATAGGATGGATAATGAGAACGTTCAAAACGAGAGATGCCAAGCCCATGATGACCCTTTTTCAAATCACTTGTTCTCTCTAGGCTGGAATTACTGTACTTTAACATCTCCATTCAAAGCAGGTGAAATCGCAGATCTAGAGAGTGTACAGAGATCCTTTACTGCACGTATAAGTTCTGTCAAGCCCCTTTAACTACTGGGAACGCTTGGAAGCACTTGACTTGTACTCGTTTGGGAAAGCAGGGAGAGATATATCATAATCTACACATGAAAAATCCTGGAAGGAATGGTCTCAAATCTGCACACAGAAATCACTCCCTACAAAGTAAAAGATGGGCAGGCGATGCAAAAATGCCCCCAATTAAAAGTAGGGGCGCCATTGGTACACTAAGGGAAAACACCATAAGTGTCCGGGGCCCAAACTGTTCAACAGCCTCCCATCAAGCATTAGGGGGAAATTACCATAAACCCCCGGCTGCCTTTTAAGAGAGAGCTGGACAGATACCTAAAGTCAGTGCCGGATCAGCCGGGCTGTGGCTCGTACGTTGGACTGCGTGCGGCCAGCAGTAACAACCTGGTTGATCAGGCCCTGATCCACCGGGAGGCCTGGTCATGGACCGGGCCGCGGGGGCGTTGATCCCCGGAATAACCTCCAGGTAACCTCAAGGTAACCTTCCTCTTCCTTCCCTCCCCCTTTCCTCCCCCCCAACCCTCCCTCCTTAGCGAATATTCTTCTCTGTGGTGGTTCATGTATTAATGTTTGTACTACTTAATGTGATGCTGTAAGATGACCTAACTTATTTTTTTTCTCTCGCAAGCAACGAGGATGTCGAGGATGATAAAAGGTGAGTTTCTTTTTTGTCTGTCTTTAATACTCTCTCTCTCTCTCTCTCTCTCTCTCCTCTCTCTCTGAAGTCATAGACTCGAGTCATTCTTGTTTTATGTACATAACTACAGGTAACCTCGTTGGGTTGGAGAATTAACAAGTGACCGGGAATAATTTAAAAATTTCACAGGTTAAGTTGTGACGTGTACTTAGCTCTCAGTGGTGACGTGTACTTAGCTCTGTGAAGACCTGTTTGCGCGCTCTGTACGAATTGAAGCAAGATGCCCTCCATCGAGCAACTTTACCAACAGCTTAAGGAAGAATTGAGGATGGCGAAGATGGAGATTCGGCGACTGACCGAGGAAAACAAGAAGATTCGTAGTAGTCCTCCTGTTTTGAGTCCTCAGGTCAAGAAAGGAACTGGTCAGTTGGGGTGGACAGCAGGGAACGAAGTTGGACGATCAAGAAGGACGAATGGGGGAAAAGGGGGGAAACGATTGAAGAAGAAAGATGCCGTGGAAACTGTTGTGGAAACACTAATACATTCTCAGTGCTACCCGACGAAAAGTGAGTCGACTATGGGAAACGTCACGACGATCAACACCAAGGGGAAGGGTTAGAATATTGTTGTTGTTGGGGGATAGCAAGTTGGTATATGGATAGGGCGTTCTGCTTGATGACAGGAGTAGGAGAAGAGAGTTTGCTTCCTGGGGCTGGGGATGGAGGATATTGTTAGCCGTCTGGATGAAATCATGAGAGGTAAATGGGAGCAATCCCCATTATCTGTCTCAGTGCTGAGGGCAACGATGTTGGCAGACGTAGGAGTGAAGACCTGATTAGCAGGTATAGGTCAGCAATAGAAATAATTAGGAGGAAGGGTGGGAAACCCTGTCATATGTGGTATTTTTGCCAAGGAGAGGAGTTGGAAATGAATGGTTGTCCAGGGCAATTGGTGTCAATTGCTGGCTGGACAAATACTGTAATGAAAATGCAGTAACATTCATTGACAACTGGGACCTCTTCTATGGCAGAAATGACATGTATGCCAGGGATGGGTTCACTTACCTAGGTCTGGGGTGGGAGCACTGGCAACTGCAGTGGAGGGAGCTGTTAGTCTTTAAACAGAATAGTTAGTGGTATGGGTTTTGGCGGAAAACAGTCAAGTCGCAGTGTAGTAATATGAGTACTAGGAGAACTAGCAATAGGCAAAATGAGTAGATATTGGAAAGCCAGTGGCACAAATTGACAAGGACAGTAATAGGTTTAGTGGAATAACAGAAAGGAGCAGGAAGGGTAAAGAGAGAGGAGGGTCTTTAAATATATATTACACAAATAGTGCCAGTGCTAGGAATAAGATGGACGAGTTGAAACTAGTTGCTAGTGCAGGTAACATTGATGTATTTGCCTTAACTGAAACGTGGTTTAATTCAAAAAGTCGGGACATGCCTGCAGAATGTCACATTCAGGGTTTTAAAGTGTTCCAAGTAGATAGAAGTGTCGGGAAGGGGGTGGGGTGGCATTGTATGTCCGAGATCGCTTGAACTGTTGCATAAAAACGGGTATTAGGTCTTAAGTAACACATACAGAGTCTGTTTGGATAGAATTTTCAGAGGGGCATGAAAAATTAATATTAGGTGTGATATACCGTCCCCCAAACTTAGATGGGGACCAGGGGAGACTACTATGGGAGGAAATTGTTAGAGCCACAAGGCACGATAATGTAGTAATTCTAGGAGACTTTAGCTTTAGTCATATTGATTGGAATTTCTTGACTGGGAATTTAGAATCATACGACTTCTTAGAAGTAGTTCAGGATTGTTTTTTGAAGCAGTTTGTGACAGAACCTACAAGGGGTAATAGCCTGCTTGACTTAGTTCTGGCAAACAATGAATCCCTTGTTAATAATTTAGAAGTTTCAGAGGAACTGGGTGCTAGCGACCACAAATCAATTACATTTAGCATTGAATGGGTTGTCTAAGGCGTTTTCTGTACCAAGAGGCCATGTGTTGCAGTGTCTGACAAGATGAACATCAAAATGGTATACAATACCGACAGGTTAGTAGGTAAACCATGGGAAACATTTAGGCAACTTTATCCAAAAACGTTTCGCCTACACAGTGGGCTTTTTTATCGAATACAGAAAGTAGGCCTATTGTAAAAAACGTTTCAATAAAGTTGCCTAACTGTTGCCTTGTGTCTTACCTCCCAAACCTTCGGTATTGTAACCCATTTTGATTTTCATCTTGTCAGACACTGAAACACAGGGCCTTTGGTCAAAAAAACGCCTTAGACAACCCTTTAAAGTGAAAATTTTGGGGTTTTGAGAGTGACCTGACCTCCAGTGGTACATTCTCACTACTACTACACCCCCCTTCCCCGACAGATTTAAGTCTCCGCACTGCGCTTGATCTTCAGGTGTCGTTCGTTCGTTGTTGTGCTTTATACAGCAGTGTTGGTTCTCCTCATCGCTCACAGTCAGAGTTGCTCTCCTCACCGGGGGGTGGTTCTGGACCCTTTTCTTCACCATCAGATTGGTGCGCGGTGGGTGCCGCACTCCCTTTTTCTGTCGAAGTCTTCACGCCTCAGCCATACGTGTGATCTGCACGCCAACAGCCAGTGTTGCCCTCCTCACCTTAGAGCATACGTGCTCCTCAACTACACTCACCTCCTCAGTGTCCTTTCCCAAGCGGACTCCACAAGAAACTTTAAAATTATAACAGGCAAGTAGTGTTTACTTACCGTATTGCCTAACCCAAAATTATTCTCTCAGTTTTGGCCGCCACATCTAATTTACAAATTTACGATGCCTTAAATCCCTTCCACTTCCTTCCCTCTTACCCTCCTTCTTTACTGCCAACACCTGCCTTACCTTCTACTCCTGCCTCAAAGGGCCCTACCCTGCGTTTTACCTTTTCCCAAACCCATTCTTTTCGCTTAACCTAAAAATACCAAAATCTGTCACCACTTCTGTCCTGGAAATTTTTTGTCCCAAATCCGGGCGCTCCTCAACGAAAGTCTTTAAAACCAACTCAGGCTTCAAACAAAATTTTTTGACAACTTTCTTACAAAAGACCTTCAACCGAGCCCCAGACAAAAACTTCTAAACGCAGGTTTCACCATTTTTTGGACTCCTGAGCCCGCACAAAATGCACAGTATCGAAAAACACGTAGACTATTCTTCCTGACCCCTATGACACAGACAAAAAATTTAAATCAAAGACATTATACTAAGAACAAAGTCTTTTTGACGATATTTACAGACCTAAAAAATTAAAACCTCCTCAAAATACCTGTTCAACTCCTTTCTGACGCCTCACACTCTTCAATAAAGGGAAACCCCTTGCCAAGACATCCGATTCCTCCAAACCTCTCTTCACTCAAATTTCCCACCCCATCACAAAATGTTGAAATGCTACAAATTCGGCCACGACAAATCTCATGCACTTCCACACAAACCTGCCCCAGTTGTTCAGCAACTGGCCATTCTGGAACATTGAAACCTCCCCCTTAAATGTTCAACTGCGGGGGGTCACACACTGCATTTGCAAACTCCTCCCTACTAAAAAAAGACATTCTCCCACCCTCAGAGCCAGCCAACCTCCCTCCCTCCCCAACCCCTTCCCTGCACCTCCCCCCCCGGGGCACCTCCCTCCCCTTTAAAACCTCCCCCCCCTACCCCCAATTCCTGGGCCACCCCACGCACTTGGTCACTCTTCTACTCTACCAAAAATCAAACACCAACACACAGACTACAAGCATTCTCCTTCTACCCCTAAAACCCCCCACAAAACTACAAAACTAACTGTCAACTCGCCACTGTGCCCACTCTGCGAGGTAATCTCACAAGCTTACCAATCAACTACCACATGCCCTTTAAACCCCTAATCTTGTCTGCTAACAATTTCCCCCTTTAATTACCCCTCCTTCCTTTTCTCTTCAAAGCCTACTACAACCTCTCCCCCCCTCCCTCTCTCTCACCCCCCCCACTTCCACTCCAACACTTTCCTACTCCCCTACCCCTTCATTTACTTCCACACCTCCCACCAACACCCCTATGTGCTGCTACGACCCCCCCCCCCTCCCCCCACTTCCCATCCCCTTTCCAAAGCTTCCCCCCTCACCCTTTAACCAAGTTCCCATTTCCCTCATCCCTTACCATAGTTTCCACTTCCTTACCCCCTACCAAAGCTTCCATTTCCTCTGCATCCACCTTTGCCCACTCCCCCACCACAACCAAAAACTTCATCCATCCAACTCCACCCTCCTTTCCCCCCCGGGGGGGAAAAAAAAAATCCCTCAAAACCTAAACCTCCCCAATTTTTTCAGACAACCAAAAAACATTTAAAAAAAAGACACCTTTCCTTTGGAAAGGGCCGTGCACCAAAACACAACCATATGGCAACTTCAAGGCTTTACCAAAATCCTCCCCCGCTAATTTCTATGAAAAAACCTTTTAAATTTTTTACTTTAAGGTGATTCATTCAACGTCGTTCTTATTTTAAAATTAACACCTACTGGCCAGCTATTTGAAGCAGAGAGGCCAGTATTTTTTTTGCAAAACATATGCCTAAAGCCCCTAACCATCCGCCTTTATGGAATATGCATACAGCCCCCCTATGATCCCCCGATGGGGTTCCCATCCTTGTTAATTCCAACAAAAAAACACGAATTTCCCCCAACCCCCTTTTTTTCACCAACACGTCTTGCAGTCAAATACACCCCCATCGGTCCCTTTATTTTTTTCCCCACCTTCTCGCCCAAACACTTCTCAACAACACGACCTTTCCTTAGTCTTAAACCCACCAAACACACCAACATACCTACTAGCTGACATGAATGCCAAAACAACCGCCTTTCATCACCCCATAAAAACCCAACTTGGTCTCCAATTACTCAACTTCACAAACCATAAACACCAAATTTCATTTTGGGCCCAGCTTCAATCCCTTTCACAACCACACCGGGCCAAGGCAAACCCAGAATCTTTCGGGCAAACCGACCCACTCTCATTTCACACAC